GATTTTGCTATCGGAGCCGGTTGGCGTGGACGACTGGAGTCGGCCTCCATCACGCGAACCAACACTGCTTCAAGCCAAACAGTTTCAATTGTTGATCCAGGTTAGTCAACCGACACGATAGCCTGGAATCATGCTCACATAAGAAAGTTCACATAAAGGAACGGTGTCCGCACGCTTCTCGCAAAGTAGTAGAAAGGCGAGCGAAACGAAGGCGCCTGGATACGCTTGGAGGACTCCATTACATTCCGTATGCGCGCTTCAGTTTCTTCCTGTATCTTTGTTACAGTTTCGGAATCACTCACATGCCTCTTGACATTGACATTGAAGTGCATAGATATAAAAATATTTTACTCGCGGTTAATGCTTAGATAAAAACGAAAGCACCAACGATATGTCGCGACGAATCGCCAATGAATGAAGAAAAAAAGGGAATAAAGCGATCATTTCCAACACTGTATTGGAGAACATTAGGAAAAATACCTGTGATAGTTTTTTTGTCCGTGTAGTATGATGTTATCTCGGCTGACGGGTCTTGTCCGTTTTGCCTGTTATATTATATTTTATTTCTAGCTGTTTTGTCTGTTATCTAATATAACCTAATGTATTTGTAAGTAGTGGGATGAAGTAGCTCACCATACCTTCTTTCCAACAAATTTATTCGATTCCTTTCGGAGCGTACGGGTCGGTTGCCCGCAGTAGATCCTGCGCAGCTTCCGACATAGCAATTTTGATACAGCAGCCTCTACACAACAGCCTCGACACGCCTGCCTTAACGCGCTAGCATCAACACTAGCATCGTCGTCAGCCTCGACACCAGCCTCTACATCAATTTCGGCCTGAACTCGCGCTTTGTACACCAGACTGCTGCAGAGGACTGCTGCACTCATTCTCCTGATCGGTCCCAGAATCCGAGCTCGGCAACCTGCAGAAAGGTTTGCAGTTGTTGGGTTAATCTTCCTGGCAGAAGTGAGTTTGTGACTTCGCACCAGCATTCTCCCTTCGAATTATAAATTAACCATGCTGTTTCTTTTTCCGCCAACATTAACCACGTTATTTCTATTGCCACTCGTCGTGATAAGTATAAACAGCTGTAATTTTGTTCGTTTTCTTTAGTGTGTGTTGTGACCATTCGTTTTTGCTGTGGTGCTTTTCGTTCGACGTTGGTTTGTTTAATTGTCGATATCGACAGCCCCACACTCCTCCTTGGAGGCTCATCTATCGTTGGAAGAAATTTCCGCCCTTTATTGCATTCAATGTGTCATTTGTGTTGTACATCCCGGCGTTCGCTGGAACTGTCGCGGAATTCATGTGAAAGGCCCGCAGTTGTTAAAAAAAATATGTACTGCATCAAGTGCAGCAGCCAGAAAATATATGTATAGGGGTGTTGCCGAAGGGCGATTTTTCTCTCTTGCCTTTGGATTTTTTTTTGAGAAAATTTTTCGCTTTCTTGCTTTTTTGTCTTGAGAATGCATTGCTTTTGTCCGATGTTTTATCCTACATCCATCTGAAAGCTGTGCAATTCATGTAACAATAAAAGATGTATATATATATATATGTTTCGCTTGTGCTTGTTTCGCTTGCAATATTCATGTAGGATTAGCAACAAGTAGCGGTATTTTTCCGTCTGTAAATTCCTGAAACAACCTGGCAGAGAACAGCACGAAGACTCGAACTAAGACCCTCGCTCTGATCCAGAAGCAGCTAGAGGCAAGTTTTTCGACATGGAGCCCGATGCAAAACAGTCTACTGCAATAATGTCTAGACATCTGCGACATCTGACGGGCCTTGCGAAATCACGACTGGCTGCTTATCTGTTAAATGCAAATAGTCTCATTCAAAATGTCAGTACTCTGTTTGTCAGTACTCTATACGACGACTTCAACGACAGAAAATCTCTTTGAACTTGTTGCATTGCTGGATACGCCACTAGCTACGAAATGTGCGTCGTGTGATGTTCCATTTTCGTACATGGCACCAGCACCAGAAGACGTCGTTGTACGGCACGATGATCGACAATAGCCATTTCGGGGACTGCCGGAAAATCCATTTTAAAAAATTCGAGAGCTGCCTAGTCAGTTGAAAGATATCTTATAAGGTGAACGCAGATCATCAATAGTTTGAATTCAGTAAAAACTCAGGAAGAAAACAATACATTTGAAGCTTATTTGAATGAAGGCACTATTGATATTCTAAATAAGGCAGCCGAAATACTGGATCTCGCAGACAGTTCAAGATAGAGAAGGAACTCGGAAAGAAAACACGGGGAACGTGGATGCATCTGTATAATTAGAAGCCCAGAGTAGATACGCAAGTGATATTCGAGCGGGGACAGGCACCCCGCAGAGCACTGAATGTAGAAGCAACAGTACTGAGCAAGAGCCGCAAATGTACTGCAGGGGAATATCGCGAGAGGTCCCGGTTTTAATCATCGGGTCATCCCTATGTTACGACGAACCTCGGATTTATGATGACAACGTTTGAGCGGCAAGACGAGCGAGGCCGTTAAGACAATGTCGATGTTGCTGACTGTGCTTGCTGGAGAAATCGGGATAACCAAACAAACTTTATCAACAAAATAAAAAGTACACAATGGAAATTGGATCGGATGGGCTAGACGAAGTACAGCACCACCGCTGCTGTCGGAAAAAACGTTGAACAACTCTTAAATTTCAACAGTTCAGCAGTACTTTACAACAAAATTGCATGCTTATATATTTATCACGAAGGGCGAGACAGATCACAGGGGATTTGCTGTTTGCTTTTTCTGCGTGCCACATTTTGCTGCCTTTACAAGTGTCATGTGTAAGAAGACATGTTACGATGCAGTCTGTGTTTCATTCCTTAGCTGTAAACACAGACCGAATTTTGCGTGCGTTTCGATGGTGGACGCTGGTGTAGTGGGAGTGTGAGGTTAGCCACACTGACACTATGTTCCTTACGTGCTACATGACTAGCATTCGAGCCGGTTGAAGACAGCGTATATTCAGAGTCGTTTCGCTGGTGACTGAAGGCATGGTGGTGTCGTTTACTGTAAAGATTGATTTACGGGACTTGCCAATAGTTTCCTGAAAATACACATTCAGAGTAGGTCAAAAATCGAGGAAATGATTTATGAAATTTTTCCAGCTCATCCTTTGTTATATCCACCCACAGGTGAATGAAAATAAAGATTTAATGTATTGAAACGTTCACTTTCTAGCTGAGACCAATTGTCATGTGTAAGACGTGTTTCATCCCTTAGCTGTAAAAACAGACTGAATTTTGAGTGCAAGTAGGAGCGGGAAATATACAATGAAATTACACCTCTCTTCATGGCAACGGATTTCGAAGTCTAAAAAGCAGTAAGTGGAACTCAATAATTTCAAATTCAGCTCCCAAGTGTGCGTGGCCCTCACTTACGGCCACGCACACTTGGGGGCTGAATTTGAAAGTTTTAGGCAAGAAATAGCTAACTCGGGAATCAGGGAAGCTGAGGTTGAAATTTTAAGGGGCTATCCCATTTTTTGTGCAGCAAAAGTTTTGAACTGTTTCTTCCTGCTTAGGCGTCCTTTTTTTGGCCAATTACCGACTGTGCTGAATGGCAAGACCTTTTTGGAAAGTGTAAGATGTATAATTTGTTGAAAAATGTATAATTCATAAAATTTCACCGTTTCTTGTTAATTTGTTTTCTCGATAAAATTCCTTGGAGCATATAGCAAGGCATCCTATCAAAACAAAGAAAATAATAAAAGGATTGTGTGGGTAAAGGAAGCAAACAGTTTCTGAAAAAGGAGGCTGAATAAAGGGGAGAGGAGGAGCAGATGGACTTCAGAATCGAATTCCCTGGAAGCAGCGGACCAGAGTACTACCTTAACGAAAGGGAACGAAGGAAGATTGTATGAGTGTAGAAGTCCGAGGAGATGTCTGAACGAAGCGCCAGGAAAATACTGTTGGCGTTTGATCTTCAACTTACGGTTATTCCACTGATGATTCACGGGTATATGAAGGTGTGTGTGTGTGTGTGTGTGT